AGTGGCACACACTAAAACTGTCTATATAGAAGAGCAGACACGGGAAACTGATCTCTTATGACTCACATTGTTAGATTAAAGAAGAAAGCGTTACCCAAATAAGCGCAAAAAAGACATGAACTTGCATCCATTTCACTTGAGATGATATTCATACGTGAAATTAATCTGACTCACATGTGTAAATACTGTATTGTCTCTCTAGTATAAGAAGCTCAAAGAATAAATAAGGTCTAAAATGTACAATGCACAATACATACTATGAAATGGGAAGAAACTGCTCAAAAGGAAAAGAAACATGTTATTAGTTCCTTGAACAGAAAGGGTTGTGCCTATGTCGTTTGATCAATTTTTCATGCTTATATCTTACAATATGAGCAACTACTTTGAAGATAACAATATGCAATATCCAATGTTATGCTTCTACAATCTTGTTTGGAAATTTTATACTATTGTTTTTATTGTTGATTTTTCTTTTCTTTAAAATAAAAAAGAAAAAGAAATAAAGTATTTAAAATTGAGGATCAAGGAAATTAACTAGGCTTCTTCATAGACTTTGATTGACTACATAAGGATTCCTGACGTATGTGTAGGAAGTTTCTTCTCTTAGTAATAGATGGGCCTAGCAGACAGTTAGATATGAATTAAATTAAGAAGCAAAGTCAAACATAATACTGTACTACTACACCAAATAGTTACAGGTTATAACTTTTGAAGAACTACATTATAACTACAACCAAAAGATAAGGTATCTGGTAATAAACTAAAATATGCAGAAACTATTTTGAAGAAATCAACCCTTGGCCAAAACATATTAAAATGGATGAATAATCTGAGATACATTTCATGTTGATTCATAAAATGATTCAAAAATCATAAAATGACAATTGTCCCTTATCAACCCAAAATATTGGGTTATAGAATCAATGCTTTTCTATTCAAATGCCAACAGCTGAGCAGAGGAGAAAAGCTTAGAGGTCTAAAAGCCTGCCTGGCACACCGAAGGACCTGCGTTTGATCCCTGGTACTGCATGCTGAGTGTGCTGTGTTGGCCACTCAAACCGGGCATGGCAACATGTGCCTGTAATCCCAGCACTGGGGAAGCTGAGACAGGAGGATCACTATGAGTCCAAGCTGCTAACAAGACCCTGTGCCAAATAAATAAATGAATGAATGAATAAATAAATAGTTAAATAATTAAACAAACCAAAGCAAACATCATCATCATCATCATCATCATCATCATCATCATCATCAACAACAACAACAAAACAAAGAAAGGCCAACAGCCTTTCTTCTTGGAAAACTTTGTAAATTAATTCTAAAATTCATACAAAAAAGTAAATGTCCAGGTGCTTATTTGGGAGATAACTGTCCTATCAGGCAATGAACCCTACGTTTGTCCTAATTTCTTAGTTTGGTACCCAGGGAATAGCTTAGTAATGAAGAAAGTGTGCTATAGAAGTATGGAAATTTTGTTAAGAGGTAGCATCCAGGATTGAGGATGTACTTTTGTGTCAAAGGCAGAGCACATGATATTTGTGTGGAAAAGAGGGACTACTTAATGAGTATCTGAGAAAAAAGTACACGAACTATAAAAATTATACTCAGATGGAAATTGCACTTGACTGCACAAAATGAGAGCTTCCAAACTTGTGGTTAAAGAAGTAATGTGGGGAACTTCTTTTTTTGTATTTAGCACAGGGTCTACAGGGTCTCATTACGTAGATCAGACGCATAGTGATCCTCCTGTGTTCAGCCTCCCAAGCACTGGGATTGCAGGTGCATGCCTCCACACCCAGTCTCAGTAGCCATCTCAGCATGCCCCGGCGATGGAGCTGGCATGGCACGCTGGGGATCAAACCCCGGCTTCTGCGCTCTGCCTAAGCAGGAGCTTTAGTCCACTGAGCTATCTGGCCAGCCTGGGAATTTTTTTTTTTTGACACTTGAAAGACTTCCTAAATAAGGCACAAAATACTAGACACATAAAAGTATACATTTTATTGTACTATAAATAAGAAACTCTGCTCATGAAAAGATACCTTATAGATATGAATACTCTGTACAGAACTCAAGAAGATACATATAGTACCTGTGTCCAACACAAGATTAGTATGTGGAATATCAATAGAATACATACTGCTGCATCCGAGTTGCCAACATCTGTATCTGTACAAGGTAGAGATTGCCAGGAGAAAAGTGGACAAAAATACATAAACAGGTATTTTCTAGAAAAGGCAACAAAAACTTCCACCAACATGGAAAAATGGTCAATGTCATTAGAAACGTGGAATATGCCAATGTGGAACATGATGAAATGCCAGTTTATAGCCACTGTATTGATAAAAATAAAGCCTGACAGAGTCAATTGTTGGTGAAGGTGTTACCAGCAAATGACAACTCTCCTGAAAAAAGAAAAGCATTAGTTTTACAGATGAATGTATCCAAAATTTATGACTAAGAAATCCCACTTCTAAATATATGCCTTAGATGAATTTTTTCTTGTGTGGACATACAGGGGGATATTCCTAGCAACAGTACAATAACAAAGAACTCTTCCAAAGTGATTGTTCATGACGGTAAGAAGAGGCATATAAGTGGTGATGTATAAATCAATTTATAGAAACCTGAGAGAAAGCAAAGTGCAACAGTATAGTACTTAGAAACACATCCATAGGAGAACATATAGCAAGGAAATATGGAACAAAATTTACAAGTGTGGGTACCACTGAAGATGCTAAAAATTCAAGATTATGGTTATCGTGGGGGGACAGAACAGAATGATGAGTTTGGGGAACAGCCGCCGTGTGGAGTTTGCTGGTAGTGTGTAGTTTATATGAACACAGTGGTGGGCTCCCAGGGAACATTTCATTGTGTTTTGTAACTCAAATCTATTGCTTGTATTATTTTGTATGTATCAAATTTGATATGATGAAATACCCAGCCTTTTCTCTTAAGTTTAGTTCGAATCCACTATTTTGTAGTTAACATGGGTCAATCTTCCTGATGCATCTAGCAAAGAAAGCCTATCCATTATAATGCCTGCAAGGAATCTCTTTGAATTCAACACTGATGCATTGATGCAAACAGAGGGCATACTGCAATTCCAACTTTGCAGGCAGGTCTGCCTGTGCAGACATCCATGGCAAACATGCATCATGCCAGACTTACAGTGAAATTTCAAGTCTTGCTTCTCTGATGCTTTTCTTGCTTGAATAGCACAGGATTAGGAAGTCAGTGTCTCCCTAGGATCATTCTCCTCATTTTGTCTGTTTAGTTTTTTTTTTTTTTTTTTGTTAGGGGCAGGAGTGGGACAGAGACCAGGAGACCTCTGGGGGAAGCTAGGAGTTTGGGCTGGTTGAGGGAGAGGCCTGGCTTGGCTTTGCTCCATCTTCTGTCCATCCAGCCCTTTGTCCTGTGAACTCTGATCTCGCTTTGCTCCATTTTTCTGCCTGTTTCTCCCTGTACTTTGCTTGTGGGGTCTTTTTAGTTCAGGACCAACATGAGTCTTTATGCCCAGGACACATCTACTTGAAAGTTATGCCACAGGGCAGGGCGTAACTTTCCATATCTGGCTGCTGGACTACAATTGGCAAGTTCCGAGTGGTCCTGTGACACTCAAAAGACTGCACACTCTGGGCACAGAGACGATCTTCACGGTTGAGGTCGTCCAACTATGCACAGCAATTTAATGGTTCCCTGTTTTTGACCTGACCTCATAATACTCCCTTTGACTTCAAAAAAGAGAAAAAGAGGTAGAGGGAAGATAGACCAAGAACTGTTCACAAAGATTATATGGGGTTGGAGGGATTATGGATGAAATTTATTATCAATTATACACTCTTTTAACTTTCTAAATTTTCTTGAATGTCATTTCTGAATTTTTTATTGAGAAAAAGTATACATAAAACGACTACAAATTTTTTTAAGAATCTATTACATTGCTAGAATTCTGCCCAATATTTCTTCCTGGTTATTGCTGTTGGAAACATGATACTTCACTTTATTAGAAATTTTCATTTTCATAAAGACATCCATAAGTCAATATTTCTACTTCAAACTTAATTCAGGATGTTGATGTTATTCCTCATGCAATTTCCATCCTCACTACAGTTTTAAAGTCTTCTACCTTCCACTTTGTGTCTTTATTGTGTGACAATAAATGGACCATCTGAGGATTCCCTTAGGAGTATCACTGTTGAGCCACAGGGTATAGTTTGATCGCTTCTCCCACCTGTGACATATCTGGGCCTTTTACCTGGGAAAATTCTTTTCTTTTCTCATTAAAACTTCTTGATGGCAAACAACTCCCAGCTCCACAAACACCTTTGATGAATCGGAGCTCTCAGGTTTCAAGACAGCCAGGGGAAGCGTTCTGAGACTTATCATGAAGGAACGTTCATTCTCTACATGTACTTGAGATTTGATCTTTTTCATGTTTTAATAAAAACTGAACTCAAAAAAGGAGATAGAGTTTCACTTTTGCTCAAATTGAGGCAGCAATATATTAGAAAGACACTTTCCTGATGGTTGGAAATAGCGTGTCCCTGGTGAGGGCTTTCTCACACTACCACGGAGCGTCCCACAAGGAAGTCTGCACCCCATGGACTTTAGGACTCACCCAAGTCTCTGTCTAAATTCCGTCCAAGCGCACAGCAGCTACATCTGTAAGTAGCCACTTCAAGTTCCTTTCCATAAAGTTAAAATGGCAACACATCAAGTCGTGATTAAAAGACGTACATATGGGACACATCTAACATGGTGCTTGACACAAAATTATTCAAAACTGACACTAGGCATCAGCTTCTACCCCAATATTTGTTTTAATGAAACCTAATATCCAGTTCTCTATGGCTCAGTATCTCCCCGATTACTTTAGCTCCTAGGCTTCATTTTTTTTTTTATTTAGTAAATGCAAATGTGCACTGGCATTCCTGAAAACAGAGCAGAAGAAATAATCTTCCGGTGTACACTTAGCAAGCTTAGAAAATGCATGTGCTTACCAGCTCACTGAATTCATTATTGCCTAGGTCAAGTCTTTCCAACTGGGCCAGTTTGTGCATTGACCTACAACAGATGGAGAAAAATACTCTTGTGAGGCAGGCGAAGCACATTACTCTGAAAGACACCCCACTAGGTGCTCTGTCAGATTTATCTGGTTGCACAATACACAGAATGGGAACGTCCTTCTGCAAGACCAAAACTGCAAATAAACTGAACGCGACTGCAAACCTTGGGCAGCTTACCACGACCCATGGCATACCCCACTCTGGCATGAGGCTGGAGCACAGGGCTGGCTGCTTACCAGAACCCTGGGAATCCTGTTAAACATCTCCACCAGTAGGAGGGGCAGGGCTGGGAGAGATTTTTAAGTCACCACAGTTTCAGGAACCAATGGACAAACTCAGTTCTTAACCAGGCTTTCTAAAACTCGGCGGCATGGCACAGTTTCTTCCTTAGTTCTGCCATTTTCTACATCCTTACATGAACTTCTGTTATAGACAAATTGTATTTTATTTTATTTTTTCACAAGCATATTGGCTTAGCGGTGTAAGAACCATGAATGAACAATTGGAAAACCCCAAGGAGGAGTTTGCATCAAAAGTTAGAGGCATCTAGCAAATTGCTCTTGTTGGCAGCATTTCTCAAAGCACTGTTATCCACACATACAACATAATAAAAGATAGTGTTTCCTGAAAGACTTTTATCTCCCCAGAACCTAGAAAGCTGTCATTATTTATACTGAAAATCTTGAAGCATCACAGACTTAAATCTTAGAAATTTTAGTTTTTTCACTTTTAAAATCAATATAGAAATTACAGCTTTTTTTTTTTTTTTTTGGTTTGTTGTTAGAGACAGGGTTTTGCTATGCAGTTCAGGCCGGTCTTGAACTTACTATGTAGCCCAGGCTGACCTGGAACTCATGGGGATCCTCCTGCCACAGCCTCCTGGGTACTAGGGCATGTCACCATACCTGACGAGAAATTATAGGCTTTTTATGAATATGAAATAAAATATAATTGCAATCCCAACACCTTCAGACACTCATAAATATACAAAAAAGTGTGTACTCTCTTCATTCAGCAATCACTGGGAGATTATGTATTTATTTAGGGACTAGCAGGAAAGAACACATAAAAATTTCTGCTCCATAGGACATTACATCCAGTGGGAGAAGGATATCCAAAAACAAAACAATTAAGTAAAATAAAATATGTATTTGAACATTGTGAATGTTATGGGGACGGCTTAAGTAGTGGAGGCAGGAAGAATCCACGTAGGAATTTTATTTTTCACAGGGTGATCAATGGAAGCCTTAAGAAAATGATGGAGTCTGAGTCAAGGCTTCCAGGAGACAGCACGCGGAGAGGAAGGGTGGAGAGCAGGGCCATCCTGCTGGTGTCCTAGGAGGCCCGCGTGGTGGAGGAGGAAAGGGAGAGTGAGGAGAAGCCTTGGTTGGAGTTGGATAATGGAGGAGATAACAGCTCAGTGCGAGACTCAGGTTGGATTCTGCATAAGACAGAGGTCATTCAAAGGCTGTTGAAAAATTGTAAATACAGTCATTCATTTTTAAAAATATGTGTGACTACAGAGTTGTAATTAGTCTGGGGTATGGGTTGGGAGACAATCATAGCAACAAGGAGACCAAACAGGCCAGTGGATGGGCCAGTGGAGAGGATGGTGGGTGGGCCCACGTGGTGGAATTGCTGGAGAGGTTAGATTCCACAGGTGGCCAAGATTAGCTAAGATTGGAGCCAAATGTTTTGTGGAGGCGTGAGATAAAGTGGCATCTGATGTGAGCAACGGACTAGATGGAGCCACGGGAGCTTGGTGGAAAAGGGCAGGTGAACCAGGGCTTTAAGGAGATGGTAGGATCGGTTTTAGAAGTGGTAAGTTAAAAATTTCTCCTGCAGAGTAAACTAGGGCTGTCCAATATGTCTGGGATTCAGGAAAGATGGCCAGGAAAGAGACATTACATCTGGATAGCATAGAGATGGCACATGAAGTCCTCAAATATGAGAACACCAGGGTGGGGAGTGTAGATCAGAAGACAGCAGGCTCAGGAGGGATGGAAGTGACTCAACAAACAGACTGAGGAGAAACTAGTCATAGAACAAAATCATAAGGGAGCACAGCTCTGGAAGCCAAGTAAAGAAAGCCTGCCAAGGCAGAGGCAGTGAAGAGCCGCGGGGAAAGCTGATCCCCCAGAGAGCCGGCCACTTGACTCAACAACATGGAGGTTAGTGGGGTTAGTGGGGCTTCTGGAGATCATGTTTTCGAGGGTGCTGGTGGTGCTCCTGAGCACAGAACACAGGGCCTCCCACACATTAGATGACTGATCTGTTTTCTCAGTGTCAGCCTTCGCAGAAGCTTTCTTCCATTCCGTGTGCTTCCCTCATTTATCTCTTAGGTTATTTATATAAAAAATAACATAGCTTGGTCCCCCATTATGTCCCAAGTTTTAAGATTATCAAGATGAAAGGCATTGTTCTTGTTACTGAGGAACAATAATCTCTAGAGAAACAGCTGAAGGAATGAAGGCCTGCTACGCAATAGGGCAAACACGGTAGCAGAGGCACACGTAAGCTGCTAGAGGACACAGGGTGAGGCAGCTCTTCAGCTCTCAGTGGCCAAGTGGGAATCAAGGCTTCTCGGAGGCTTCACTTCTGAGTAGCTGAGCAGGCCCCATGAGGGTGAGGGAACACGGCCACCTTACGCTGGAATTTCAGAGGGGCATTGAAAGAGATCACAGCCCATTCTCCCACCCGTGAGAATACTCAAGGGCTCCGAGGTAGTAAGGAATAGTAAGAAACGCAGCAATGAATAAGGACTAGTACGTAGGCCTCGTGCCCTTACCATACCTGTTAAACAAAGAAGTCTGAATGTTAGCGCAAAAGCAATGGAAGGAAACTTTTAATATTGAGGCAGGAAAGATTTCAGACTCATACTTTCAAAAACTCAGAAAAGGATGGTAACAGCAAAGAGGCAAGATAAAGGGCTGCCCTGCTGCCCTCTGGGATTAAACTGGGGCCCTGAGAGCTGAGATGACAGGTGCGCGCCACCATACCCAGTCTCAGTCGCCGTCTCTGCGCTCGTTGGGGCAGGCAGGGCACGCCGGGGATCGAACCCCGGTCACTGCGCTTTGCCTAAGCAGGCGCTTGAGTCCGCTGAGCTGTCTGTCTGGCTCTTAAATTATGTTTCAAGATGCTGAAAAGGGCCTGGGCTGGTTCCCCAAAGTCTGGAGAGAGCTGCTCAACCTTGTATAGCCCAGGGAGAAAGCTGTGCCGTCGCCCCACCGGCTTGCTGCAGAGCGCTTCCAGGCAAAGTGCGCGCGGGGGTTCCTTCCTGGGCCCCAGGAAGAGGCAGCCGGACGTTTTGTGCTCCGAGCCCACCGATGAAACCATGAGCAACGAAGCCTGGGAACCGCGCTGCAGGAGGAGAGCCAGGCCTGGGAGAGGGTTGGGAAGGGAGGCCTGGTCCCAGAGCCAGCAGCTTTCCCTCCAGTGAGTACACAGTGGCCGGCAGGCCTGAGCCCTGGCTCCGCACCCTGCACTCTGTGGTTCTCCCTGGCACCCAAGGAGGACAGAGTCTAAAACCTCAGAGAGATTTTTGGTGCAATCCCTTGTGACTGAAGATCAAAACAAAATTGATTCTATTAGCTGCAAGAATGAGTGGAGTCTTGTAGGTGAGTGCTAGGATTTCTTTTTTGCTAGACTGTCAGTAATTTTTTAAATCATCCCTGTATGGTAGGGTTTCCAGGCACCCAAATACATTAATAATCCCAATTTAGCCCTACGAACATTTCTCAGTGTTTATTTTTTTGAAAGATAAATCTAACACTCAGAAATAAAGCTTTATTGGAGCACAGCCATGTCTGTTTGTTAACATGTTGTCTATGGCTACTTTTGCATTACAACCACATAACGGAGACACCACGTAGACGACCCTTCCTGCCTCAGGGGGCCAGGTGCAATTCAAAATTAGATGCTCCACTTTAAGTGTGGTCTAAGACAATTAATTCAAATTACTGTGTATGTTTCTAACAGCGCTGTTTCAATTTGAACACTTTTGTGCATGTCATGGGATAGGGAGCCTCTGTAAGGCTGTAAGACCTTAAAAAATATTTTCTTGGTTTTGAACTGCTGCTTGTGAAACCTTTGATTCATAACTTTATACCTACAAAGTACATTCTGAAATTATGACACAGGTTCCCAGGTTCTCAGGTTCCCAGCATTCATTTACAATTTTTCATTATAAGGGGACAAAATACGTTTCATGTAGGTTCTCTGACCTACCTCCCGAACTTCAGTTATCTTCCTTTAAATATCTTTTCTTCTGTTTCAACTTCATTTTGTTTTATTCATTTGGTCCTTATTTCCAATCAGTTATAATTACTACCCTCAATTTTATTCTATCCTTCCATTTCTGAAAATAAATTTCTAATATAACTACTTACATTTTATGTTTATTTCATTCATATTTTTAAATGATGCCACTCAATATTAATTCTGTTTTACACTTTTAACATGGACTGTCCTTATTTATCCACAAGAATTTAAGATTTTAAACAATTGATAAACAGCCTATGCCTTTTCTTATTCATGTGCTACTCACTAGACTCTACAAATTCCTCCCCCAAATTTTCCTTTTAGAGGAAATACATTTTTCACTTTATGAGACTACAGGTAAATAAAATAAAATAGAACCCATGTTCACAATGTCGGTTTTTCCCATCCGGGAGCAGGGAGTATCTTTCCATTTTCTGAAATCCTCTACGATCTTTTTTCAGAGTACTGTAATTTTTCATTGAACAGATCTTTTACTTCTTTAGTTAGATTAATTCCTAAGTATTTCAATTTCTGTGGTGCTATTGTAAAAGGTGTTGTTTCTCTAATTTCCCTCTCTGTGTTTGTCATCTGTGCGGAGGAATGCTACTGACTTTTGGGTATTGACTTTGTCTCCTGCTATGCTACTGAATTTGTGTATTAATTCTAGTAGCTTCTTGGCCGAGTTTTTTGGGTCTTCCAAGTAGAGTATCATGTCATCTGCAAATAATGATAGTTTAA